GACTATACTCAGGAATGTGCATCCTCCAAAAGCCTATGGCACCTAGGAAAGCCTGTGTCTCTTTCTTATTGGTGGGTGGAGACATTGCTGTGATCTTGTTGATGACGTCTGTAGGAATCTGACGCCGTCCATCTTGCCACTTCACTCCCAGGAACTGAATCTCACGAGCTGGTCCCTTTACTTTGCTCTTTTTAATGGCGAAACCAGCTCCCAGGAGGATTTGGATGATTTCCTTCCCTTTCTCAAACACTTCCGCAGCTGTGTTCCCCCACACAATGATGTCATCAATATATTGCAGATGTTCTGGAGCCTCACCCCTTTCTAGTGCAGTCTGGATCAGTCCATGGCAGATGGTGGGACTGTGCTTCCACCCCTGGGGCAGTCGGTTCCAGGTATACTGCACTCCCCTCCATGTGAAAGCAAACTGAGGCCTGCATTCTGCTGCCAGAGGAATGGAGAAAAATGCATTGGCAATGTCTATAGTGGCGTACCACCTCGCTGCCTTGGACTCAAGCTCGTACTGGAGCTCTAATATGTCTGGCACGGCAGCACTCAGTGGTGGAGTCACCTCATTCAATGCACGGTAGTCCACAGTCAATCTCCATTCTCCTTCAGATTTTCGCACAGGCCAAATGGGGCTGTTGAAGGGTGAGTGGGTCTTGCTGACCACCCCTTGGCTCTCCAGCTCTCGGATCATCTTATGGATGGGGATCACAGCATCTCGAGTGGTTCTATACTGTCGTCGATGCACTATGGAGGTGGCAATTGGCACTCGTTGCTCTTCTCCCATCAGACATCCTACTGCAGATGGATTCTCAGACAGCCCAGGCAAGGTGTTCAATTGCTGGATGCCCTCTGTCTCTACAGCAGCTATCCCAAATGCCCACTTGAGTCCTTTTGGGTCTTTGAAATACCCACTTCGAAGGTAGTCTATGCCCAAAATACATGGGGCCTCTGGGCCAGTCACAATAGGATGTTTCTTCCACTCATTCCCAGTGAGGCTCACATCAGCTTCCACCAAAGTGAAATCCTGGGATCCCCCTGTCACACCAGCAATAGAAACAGACTCTGTCCCCACATGTCTCGACGGAATTAATGTACATTGTGCGCCAGTATCAACCAAAGCTTTATACTCTTGTGGTTCCGATGTGCCAGGCCAACGAATCCACACAGACCAGAAAACACGATTTTCCCTGGCCTCTACCTGGCTAGAGGCAGGGCCCCTCTAAGCCTGGTTATCCTTCTTTCCCTGGGCATATGTCTTAGATGTTCCTTCAAGGGGATCAGACATGGCATCATCAGCATCATACCTGGCGGTTCGGCTACGGGCAACTGGAGCTGCTTTCTTCCTGGTGGCTTCCTTCAATTCACGCACCCGTCGTGCCAGAACAGCAGTAGGTTTTCCATCCCACCTCCTCATATTTTCTCCACAGTCACGCAGGTAGAACCACAGCTCTGTTCGTGGGGTGTACCTTCTCTGGCCATCTGGGGAACGTCTGCCTTGGATACCAGAACCTCTGATCTGTACTGCCGAGATTTGGAGAAGGTCTTCTTTAATCTCCTCTCTGAGCTTCTTATGATTCTCCTCTATCTTATCCTCTAAGTTCTGCAGACGTGTTTCTACCGCTGCAATTCTGGCATGTGTTGGGCCATGCACAGCATCTGCATATGCTCGGAGCTTCCTTGCCATATCCAGCACAGTCTCGTCCCTCTCATCCCGCTTCATTATGGCTAGGGCAGAAGCATATTCGTGTGGCCCAAGTCGCACAAGTTTCCGCCACATCACAGACGTGCATGGCACCAAGTCTGGGTTCCTAGTTGTCACATCATCTGAGAAGATAATCTCTGCCACTGCCATCTCTCTCAGGCGTTGGATCCCTTGCTCTATGGTCTTCCACTGTGTCTGTTGCATATAAAGATCATCTGCACACAGGTATCTTTGTGCAACACTTTCCAAGACCCGTGCCCAGAGGCTCTGAGGGTTTGCCCCCCTCATCATTCCTTGGTCAATGACAGGATCATGTGACAGGGATCCCAAATGCCTTGCTTCCGTGCCATCCAGAATTGTAGCCTCGCCTGCAGCATCCCAGAGACGGACTAACCAACTAATTATGGATTCATCAGGTCGTCGGGTGTAATCCTTCCGTAAGCCACGAAGGTCCTTCAGGGAAAGGGACTCAATATTTGCATCTGGTCTTGCACCTGCTGCTTTGACTCCTGATTTTATGTCAGGAGGCATTGAGGTTCCTTCTGCTGCATCATCATCATCATCATCATCCACTGGTCGATTGGTCTTGTCTGTGCATTTCCCACTTCTGGTACTGGTAGCAACAGCCATTGGTTTAGCTGCTGGCATAGGCTCACTATCTGGTTTGGCTGCTGGCTTTGAGCCTGTGGTGTTGGCTGCAGCCTGAGTGACTGGGATAGCTGATTTATCTCCCTGCCCCCCTGCCTCCGTCTGCTGTCCTACAGTCTCCAACAGAGTGCGATAAGCATATGCCAGGGCCCAGCTCACTGCAATGACCTTTCTCTCCTTAGGCTCATCCTGGTATTTCTCTTTCAGATATTTCCCCACCTCAGCTGGGTTCTGAATTTGTTTATGGGGAAAATCCCAGACTATAGGGTCGGAGAATTCCTTCAGGATGTGGCCCATTTCCTCCCATTTCCCACACCACTCAGGATGTTTCACACCTGGGTCTACTCCTAAGTCAGGGGTCTCATCAGCCCGTCTAGAAATCTCAGCCCTCATTCTGGAGAGACAGCAGACTGTATAGAGGAAGGTTACCAGATTGAATACAAGAAAGATGGTTTCTCTAACATTCAGGGGAAACTGAACATCCTTTACTACTGATGCAACCGATTCATAGGAGAGGAAGGAAACCAAAGGCTGAAAAGCCTCATTCCCTGCTGCTCCTCCTCTAACAAACTGGACGAATAACCATAGCCAAGAACCATTCATACCTGGAGCAGACCCCAAGATGTTTATAAACTTCTTGCACATCATTGCCATCAAGCCCAGCAGGATAGCTATTCTGGTCACTGCCCCTCTGCTGTAAAAACTACGTATGAGGGACAGTACTAGAACTATTTCAGGGTAGGAAAATAAACCTAGGGACCACAGAAGTATTAAAATCTCAAAAAACCCTAGGGACCAGAAGCACATGCAAGCCTTCATCCCAACACTCATCATGAATTCAAAAAGCATGGCTATTAGCTGCTTCAAACAGAGAGTAATGGCAACCAAAATACCCTCAAAACAGGGTTTTTCCACTCACTCTCTCGAGCCCCACGTTGGGCGCCAAGATTTTGTCGAGGTTTAGGGCAAATTTGGAGGAGAATCTCCAAATTAGGGCTCCTCCAGTTAGCAAACCCACACAGCCCCTCCCCCCAACCGGTTCGGGAAGGATTTCTCGGAGAGGAGTGGAAAGAACCTGTTTATTTAACAAGCACAGCACCCCCCAGCACACAAAATGAACAATACCGGATGACACCACTCTGAAAAAAGATGATAAATTCAGAAAGTCTCTCTGGGGGTGGTCACTCTGGTCTCAGTCCCTCCGGCGCTGGGGCTGCTACTGCAGGCCAGAAGGTGCAGGATCTTGGTGTTTCTCAGGTCCCAGTCCGGAGCAGGTTCGAAGTGATCAGAAAAAGGAAAGGAGAAACCGTCCAGGAAGAAATTGGACAGTTTAGCTGAATTAGCTAAAGAGCAAAAGCAAGCAGAAGCAAAGCGAGCAAGAGCGAGAGAGCAAAAGCAAAAAGCAAAAGCAGCAAAAGCAAAAGCCGCAGTCTCCGTGTCCCGCCAGGCTGATAAGAAAACCAAAACAAAATTTTCCCTCTTCAGAGCCGGTCTTAAAGGTACAGAACATAATATCCAATATTAACAGAACACATGAATGGGGATACAAGCATCATAACGTCACCCTAGGACAGTGTCCCTGTGTGTCCCTGTCTGTCCCTTTGTGTCCCTGTGTGCTGTGTGTGACCCTGCTGTGTCCCCCAGCTGCAGATGTGGGACATGGCGGGCCAGGAGCAGTTCAGGGTGTCCCTGTCTGTCCCTGTGTGTCCCTGTGTGCCCTGTGTGTCACTGTGTCCCTGTGTGTCCCTATGTGTGACCCTGCTGTGTCCCTGTGTGCTGTGTGTGTCCCTGTGTGTCCCTATGTGCTGTGTGTGACCCTGTTGTGTCCCCCAGCTGCAGATCTGGAACATGGTGGGCCAGGAGCGGTTCAGGGTGTCCCTGTGTGTCACTGTGTGTCCCTGTGTGTTGTGTGTGACCCTGCTGTGTCTCCTCAGCTGCAGATCTGGGACACAGTGGGCCAGGAGAGCTTCAGGTTGTCCCTGTCCCTCCCTGTCTCTCCCTGTGTGTCACTATGTGTCCCTGTGTGATCTGTGTGTCCCTGTATGTGACCCTGCTGTGTCCCCCAGCTGCAGATCTGGGACATAGCGGGCCAGGAGCGGTTCAGGGTGTCCCTGTGTGTCCCTCTGTGCCCCTGTCTGTCCCTGTGTGTCCCTGTGTGTCCTTGTGTATCACTGTGTCCCTGTGTGTCCCTGTGTGTGACCCTGCTGTGTCCCTCAGCTGCAGATCTGGGACATGGCGGGCCAGGAGCGGTTCAGGGTGTCCCTGTGTGTCACTGTGTGTCCCTGTGTGTGACCCTGCCGTGTCCCTGTGTGCTCTGTGTGACCCTGTGTGCTGTGTGTCACCCTGTTGTGTCCCTGTGTGTCACTGTGTGTCACTGTGTGCTGTGTGTGACCCTGCCGTGTCCCCCAGCTGCAGATCTGGGACACGGCCGGCCAGGAGCAGTTCAGGGTGTCCCTGTGTGCCCCTGTGTGTCCCTGTGTGCCATGTGTGTGACCCTGCTGTGTCCCTGTGTCCCTGTGTCTGACCTGCTGTGTCCCCCAGCTGCAGATCTGGGACACGGCGGGCCAGGAGCAGTTCAGGGTGTCCCTCTGTGTCCCTGTGTGTCACTGTATGTCCCTGTGTGTGACCCTGCCGTGTCCCCCAGCTGCAGATCTGGGACACGGCGGGCCAGGAGCGCTTCCGGACCATCACGCAGAGTTATTACCGCAGCGCCAACGGGGCCATCCTGGCCTACGACATCAGCAAGAGGGGCTCCTTCCTGTCCATCCCTCGCTGGATCGAGGATGTCAGGAAATACGCTGGCTCCAACATCGTGCAGCTGCTCATCGGTGAGTTGGGAATGCACTGCTTCTGCAGTGTGGCCTCAGCTTTGGGTTCTGCGTGGAGTTAAGGAGTGTGCAATAAACCAGCTGGAAATTGCACCAGAGGAGCTGATTCACTGGAGCAGAGGTGTTTGGTTGACTTCTGTTAAGGAGTAGACAGCTTTGAGCCCTTTGCATCTCATTTAATGGAGAACTGGCATGCCCAGGATTTCCCAGTTCTGAAGCACAGCTGCTGTGGAGTCCCCGTCCCCATCCCATCCCATCCCATCCCATCCCATCCCATCCCATCCCATCCCATCCCATCCCATCCCATCCCATCCCATCCCATCCCATCCCATCCCATCCCATCCCATCCCATCCCATCCCATCCCATCCCATCCCATCCCATCCCATCCCATCCCATCCCATCCCATCCCATCCCATCCCATCCCATCCCATCCCATCCCATCCCATCCCATCCCATCCCATCCCATCCCATCCCATCCCATCCCATCCCATCCCATCCCATCCCATCCCATCCCATCCCATCCCATCCCATCCCATCCCATCCCATCCCATCCCATCCCATCCCATCCCATCCCATCCCATCCCATCCCATCCCATCCCATCCCATCCCATCCCATCCCATCCCATCCCATCCCATCCCATCCCATCCCATCCCATCCCATCCCATCCCATCCCATCCCATCCCATCCCATCCCATCCCATCCCATCCCATCCCATCCCATCCCATCCCATCCCATCCCATCCCATCCCATCCCATCCCATCCCATCCCATCCCATCCCATCCCATCCCATCCCATCCCATCCCATCCCATCCCATCCCATCCCATCCCATCCCATCCCATCCCATCCCATCCCATCCCATCCCATCCCATCCCATCCCATCCCATCCCATCCCATCCCATCCGTTTTGGTGAGTTGGAGCATGCACCCACTTGAGCAGACAGGGAATTTTGAAAGGACTTTGGGGCAATCAGAGTTTGTCAGTTCTGTGCTAGAAGTTCTGCTTTCCAGCCCAAATGTTTTGGGCTGAGTTTTGGACTCAGATGTGGCTCTTAGGGCCTGCAGAGCTGCTAATACAAGAGCAGTACCATTCTGGATTTCCCTAGGAATCAGCAGACAGCTGCTGTTTTCACACAATGGTTTTAACTTCAATTTCTAGCCTGTTCCCTTCTGTTCGGGTCTACAGGCACCACTCTTCAGTTACTTTTCCTGTTCTTTATGGGTAACACAGAAATACAGGTTGGAAAGGGCTGGGGAGGTTATCCAGTCCAGGCTCCTGCTCACAGCAAAGCCAGAGTCAGGCTGGTCAGGGCCTTTTCAGTCACATTTTGAAAATCTGCAGAATGGAAATTCTTCAGCTTCCTTGGGCAACCCAAGACCCTCCTGCCAAGCCCTTCCTGTGACACAAACAAGCAGATACAAATCCCTGTGTTGTTCCCTTTCCTTCCAGGAAACAAGTCTGACCTAAGTGACCTTAGAGAGGTTCAGCTGGAAGAAGCTCAGAGCCTGGCTGAACACTATGACAACATCATCTGTGCCATAGAGACCTCAGCAAAGGACTCCAGCAACGTGGAGGAGGCCTTTGTGAAGATGGCCACAGAGCTGATGATGAGGCATGGAGGGCCCATGTTCAGTGAGAAGAGCACTGACAGCATCAAGCTTGACAGCAAAGACGTTGTGGAAGGCTGGGGGTGTGGTTGCTGATAAGAGCTAGCTGATATCCCTAACTTTACTGGAGTTTAGATGGTGCTTCACCCTAATGCTGAGTAGCATGGTAGCCATATTCTCCTCCTCCTCCTCCTCCTCCTGTGAAACCAGCAATTTTGTAGAAGTTAGACACAATCCTGTTTGCTTTAGTGTCTTATTTTTAAAAAGGGACTTTGGAGAGGTGGTCCTAAAAGTCAAACCCTCTGAAAAACCTACTCAACATTTGTCCCCACGCTTTTATTTTCTGTAACTTTCATATGAGTTACAAAAATGGAGGAAACTACTTTGAACTTGGTGTTTTGAGGTGGGAACACATTTGGTTGGGGAAGAGACTGATGCAAACCCAAAGGTCTGAGCATTTAGCATGGCACTGGTGGCAAAGGAGGTCACTTTTGGAGCAGGCAATCTTGACAGGATCTCTTCAAATGCCCAGCACTCCAGCAGTGACCAGGCAGTGTCAGTGATAATGGTATTTCAAGGGCCAGAAGAGCCAAGATTTTGATTACAGGACCAAATAGCAATCACCTGTCCTAGGGCATATGGATTGCTAGTTGCTGTTGGAGCAGGCCCAGGTGGGGGAGCTCCTCTCAGGTTTTGTTACCATTTGAAGTTTTAACAGAAAGCAAAACCAGCCTGAGCACTGTCACTGGGCCAGGGTGGTGATTTAAAGCAGCCTTGAGGAGAGGGAAGATGCATTTCATTTGCCTGTTGTTTGCACAGTGGTAGCTCCTCTTTCCAGGTGGAAGCATCTCTGAGATTTTGCCCTCAGGTCTCACCATTTCATTCCACAGCTCAAGCCCTGCAGCCCTGGAAACAGGAGCTGGAGAAAGCTTGAGCTGGCTGTAGCCAGGATCTCCTGCCATGTGCCTGATGTCAAACACAGGCTTCATTCTGTCAGGCATTTGGTGTTACATTACCAGAGTGCATCAGTGGCATAAGTGGATTTGAATTTTTTATTGGTTTTGTTTTTTAAACCATCTCTTTAAATCCTGCATGGGCACATAATGGGAAGGAAGACCTCAGAATAGCTGAGAACTGCACGAGTGCAGCTGCTTGGCTGTGAGAGACCAGTGTCTTTTGAGTGATTCCCTCCCAGCTTTGTACCCAAATGTTCCCCTCTCCCTATCACAAGTTACCAGTTGCTTTTCATTTCTTTAGAACACTCAGCAGGAAAAATATTTCATAGTGGATCAGAAGTCTACACAAAGTAAAAGAGATTTCATAATGCAGCTCTTTCAGCTGCAGCTCTGTAGATCCCTTGTAGATGTAGCTGAGGTACTGATGGATTCCTCTGCAGGGACACTCTCAGGCACCTTACAGAGGTGGATTTGCAAAGAGAGCAGGAGCAGCAATATTTTAAATTCTGCAGGTAAAGCAGAGGTGTTCAGGTGTGGCAAGGGAATTTTGCAGTCCTGGTAATTGGAAGGAGTCATTATCAAGAAGCCCCATTTGAAGGGAATGCCTTGTCTCTTTGAAAAATCCAGGTCAAAAAGGAGACTTTTAATTGTTTTGCTATGAGAGCTGCACCAGTTCAGTCATCCAACATATCCAGTGTCATGAAATTTAGGAAGATTTAGGAAAGGGCTAATGGATACCAATTTTAATCCTATTCATCTTCCTGTAGCAAATATTGAACCAATCTCTGCTCTTTCTGGTTTTTTAAACTGTGAGGTAGATAACTGAGGAGTAATGTGTGCTTTGTAGCCTGTTTGCTTCTATCTAAGGGGTTAGTTTTTAAATTTTATAGCTGTGAGAATGAAAAGGCCTTAAATTTTTCAACTAGTAGAGTTTTCACAATTCTGGTATTTTCTGCAGAAGGGCAGGCTGAGCTGCAGTACTTGGTAGTGGTTTTGGATGGTTTTCAGGATATTCCTGCTTCCAAAGAGAGTAGGCAGTAAATGCCCAGTTAGGCAGTTGGGAATTTGAAATTGGGAATGGGAATGAAAATGGGAATTTTCCAAACCCTGGAGCTGTTGGTGTATTCCCTATGTTCTGCTCTCAGGACAAACTGTGAAGTCAGTCCAGTTTAAAACTGAGTGCTGGTGGCTGCTTTTCCTGCTGCTGGGGCCCTTCAGGCCCAGAATGTTTGCAGACATTTGATTTTCTGTCATGACCCATTGCAGTTTGTACCTGTGGGTCGTGGTCCTGCAGTTCTGCTGGAGCAGGGAGCCCCAGATGAGCTCAGCCCCACTTCTGCAGCATCAGTGCCAAATTATTCACTGCTGAGAAAAACCCATTTGCATTTGAGAACAGTATTGCTATTTCTCAGACTGAAATCCATAGTTTACAATGCTTAACTCATCTTAAAACTGGAACAAGAAGCAAAATGAACATAAACCCTGCTTCCAGTGCAGCCAGTGAGTGATTGTGATTTTACAGTAGATGAAGAACTGAGGAATTATTGATCCATTTTCTTCTTTTTGAGGTTTGTTTAGTGAATAAGTAGAATTAGACCAGGCACTACACTTTTCATTACAATTTGCCTGGATTTGTCTCTTAAACTAGGCTTGAAGGGTGAGGCTCTGTCTGCAGGTCAGTCTGGTTCAGTCAGAAAATGTGCAATACAGCAGCAGAGATTTGTTTGCTGTACTTTAAATGAAGGCACCAATTCCAATTAGTTTGCAGTTTCCTGCAGAAAACTAAAACCATGGCTTTAAATCAGATTTGTGTTTTAACTCTTGGCTCTTCTGTCTTGTAACAAGTGGAGTACAAGTTTGCATGCCCTCCTAACTGAACAAAAGAAATAGAAGACTTGGTTTATTTTTAATTTTTTTTTTTTTTTTTCAGAAGAAACCCAAAGACCTGGTTTATTTTTTAGATTAGCAGCTCGTGGGCTGTGAGAAGTGAAAGTTTCTTTTGATTACCAAACCCTTCCTTTGTTCACTGCCCACTAGGCTGGGAGCTCCTTGACCAGAAATACACAGGAAATGTGGAGCTTTTCACTGCTCTGCTGAAGGTTTTATCAAACCTGGGACTCTCACCCAGCTATGGAATTCAGGCTTTAGGAATTAGGTTGCTTTAACTCCATTAATCCTATTGAAACCAAAATGCTACCTGGGTGGAGAGAGTGAGGAGCAATAAACCTGAGCTTTATGGGTGAAAAGCTGAGTTTCACCTCTCAGGGTATAAATGGGCACTGATGGACATCAAGTGAATAATTCAGTAGTGCTTGTTCAGGGTTCACAGCATAAACATTTGCCAGGAAATCTGTTTAGTGCCAGTTGAACATTAACAAGGCTATGGTGCAGTAATTGCTTTTGAGCAGATCCCCTTGGCTGATCATGTATTTGCATTAGCATTTATCATTTCTTTTTGGCAGTACCAAAGTGTGCAGAAATATTACAAAAGCACAGGAGGGGACATTGATCTCTGCCTTGTAGCACTTGGGAGTGGAATGCAGAGGCAGATACTGAAATGAAATCATCAGCAGAATGTGGTTCCCAGGAGCCTTTGTTACCCTTTGTATTGATTTTAAGCTCATTTTATCTCCAGTTTCTCATCCAGTCCATCATCATGGATGGAACTTGTACAAATATTTATAATTACATCAATATAAAACCAAATGTCAGCCCAGAAATCTGCGAATGTTTGCTTTGCAAAACAAAATTTGAGAAAAATGAGAATACTGAAGAGCAGAGGAGAAGTCCTGATGATTTTCTTACTCTCACTATACTGGCAAGCAGGTTTTCAGGGGGAAAAAATCCAAATTAAGCCCAGCTAAAACCATTAATAGCTCTTCTGTTAGCTAATGCTGATAGATTTCCAAGAACTTCACCAGAAGTGGAATTTCTGCTCCTTTTGGGTGCCTGGGCTGTCATATGTGAAAACAAGGGTTTGGGAGCATGTCCTTTGGACATGGCATGCAAACTTGTCCTGAAAACTTGAAGACATTTTTTAAAAGTGAGCCAGGAGCTGAATTGACACAGACAGAAAGCTGCAGGCAGATGCCTCCCAATGTCTTCAAAAGCATCTCGGTACCTTTGCAAATAAAGCACAAAACTTGTGGGGAAGTGGTTTTGCACTAAAGGGAAATAATTATCAGAGAAAAAAAAATCATTAATGTGAAAGGCAGAGCATCTTGATTATTCTGCATTTTTCATGTTCATTTCCTAGTTCAATGCTGTGCATAAGTAAGATTTTTCCCTTTATAAATGATATTAAAATAGATAAAGTGTGAAAAGTAGTTTGATACTTGACAAAATAAATGCTTTCTTAGGAGAGTGATAATATTGATGAGGAGAATAACTTTGCTGATAGGGTTTGGTGGTGCAGTGTCAGGGATTCCCCACAGAGTTTTGCTGGAATGATGTGAGACACAAAAACCATTCCCAAAACAGGGGAAGCCAGTGGGGGACACCAGACCCTGTCCTGCCTGCCAGACAGAAAACAGATCCAGGCTGGTACTGAGCAGAAGGTGAATTTAGTTCTTTGTAACTGTTTTTAAAGATTTCTGTTTCAGATTTCTGATAGGCAGATTTTCCCTCTCCTGTGCCTCACTCGCTGAGATCTGCCAGGTAAAAACCCCACAGGTGCAGAGCAGGGAGCATCCCAGCCAGTCTGGCTCACACACACCTCTGGGGGGGAAGGAAAAAATCTCTAATTCATATTGAATTCATTCACTGCATTCCAAAATTATTTGAGGGGTTTGGGTGATAACAGTGTTAAAATGGTTCTGCATTTTCTAGGACAAATCTGTTGCTTTTCAAGGTTTCTTCGAGAGATGCAGGCTGTACATTTCTAATCATCAGTAACTGTTTTGCTTTTAAACTTTCTTATCTCAATACTGACTAAATGATTTGGAATATGAGGAGACAAGGGAGCAAGCTTGCATACTACAGTAATTTTTTATACTTTACCTTCATCTATTTATGAATTTATTATGAGAAGTATTTTTAAACATGAAACCTGCTTTTGTTGTGAATTTTAGCAAAGTAGTGGATACATTGTACTGAGTATCATTAAAAAAGGTTTAATTAAAGTACACATCTGGCAATTAATACCTTTTGTTGTTATTTTATGAATGTACCTTGTGGTATATGATCAGAAACAAAATCGATTTTAACAAATTCTGTATTCTATCCTACAGTGATGTATGGTCTACTTTTAGCAAGATATGACCTAATGTACTCTTAATTAAACAAATGGTGCTGAACTCACTTCCTCTTATCCTCCAAATGTCCATCACTCCAGCAATGCATGCACTCCCAATTGTTCCACTTAGCAAACTCTCCAGCAGAGCTGTCGGGAAGATGAAGAATGAAACCCCAAATGCTCAGTGTTGGAGAAGTGCAGATAACCCTCCCAGTGCTTGCAGTTAAGTGTGAACAATGCTGTACCTCCCCGGGGGAATGTTTAGATCCTGGACTTGATTGAAGTGCTGTTAATTAAACAAAGCAACACCCCTTGCTCTTTGCTTGGCTCTTTACTTTGAGGTCAGCAGATGGGAGTTGGTGATCCACAGGAGCCAAATATTGAATTTCTTGGTTTGCATTGTCTGCTGCTTCAGTGACAGCCTCGGGTGCCAAAGGAGGAGTTGTCAGTGCAATGGCCAGGCTCTAGAGCTGGCTCCTCAGAGTGCTGCTGCAGCTGGATTTGTCACTGAAATCTCTCTAAGGACTCATTTTTACTGTGCCTGCCCTGGCAGGGTGTGCTGGAGGGGATCATGAGAGAGGGAAACAGTGCAGGTGTCATGAGGAACATCTGCTCCTGAAGGGACTGACCTGCATCTTCTCATCTTCTACACATTAAACTGGAGTTTCTAAATCTGTGTGAGCAAAACCCCCAACTTGTAATAGCTTGTTATAAGTGCATGTGGTTCCCAGAAATGATTTCCCATTTCTGGGAACTCTCCCTGGAATTCTCCAAAACTGTGAAATAGTTTGGATACAAGAGATCTACACACACTACAACCATTTCTCATTGGCTATGGTGAACTGACCTTTCACTATGTAGTTTGCACCTGCTAAAAAAACCTCCTGTATTTTTTACAGTTTAAGTTCACTGAATATTTTTTTCTCCACATTTATGGGCAGGAAGTTAGCTGTTAAACTAGCAAAAAGCATTTTCCCAGATACAATTCCATAAAACAAGACATCAATCCCAAATCCTATTGAAAATCAGATTCTGAGATTCTTACCTGTACACCAGGTGCTGCTTCTGCTTCAGGAACAGATCAATAAATAAAGCAATAAATAAAGAAATCACCTGCTGGGTGTTAAACTGTAAGGCATGTTTAGCATGATCCCAGTACTGAATTCTGAGCTTGGCATAAAAACCAACACAATGCAAGGAGGAGAGGTTTTAGTTAAGACCTGCTGAGTGCCAGGTGGTCTGAATTAGACAAATTCAAGCAATCTTTACACAAAGTAAACCCACCTGTGCTGTTTGGAATATGCAATCCTCTGTTTTACTCACAGAAACACTTTGCTGACACTTGTCAGTGTGCAGCCTGTTTCTGCCAACGTTGGAAACAGGATTTATGTCCTCAGCCCAGAACTCATCCTTGTCCAGACAGAAGAGTTTGACCCAGGCTGTGTGAGATGTGCTGTGGTATCTGTTAGTCCCCATTTCTGTACAAGTTACAGAGCATACAGGGCACCACTGAGTTCTGGAGAAACTCCTGTAATCCCAGCTTCTCCCTTTACACTGATGGAAGGAGATTTCCACCTCTTTTGGCAGCTGCTTTCTGTGTGTGGTGTTACCCAGGTCACTATTTCCAATAATTTCCTTTATTTCCTTTTCATCTGCTGTTTTTTCAGCATTCTGGCTTTTTGAGGATCTGCCACTCACCAGGCTGGAGCTCATCCATGGAGCTGGAGAATCTGGAATCCTTGAAGGGTTTTAGATTTTACTGGTGATGTGACACAAAAAAAGGGACTGTATTCCTTTTCTGCAAACACATTTTATGTTAATGTTTCCATGAGGGATGAGATTTAAGAGGTCCATATGCAGTTCCTTCATGAACCTTTTGAAGTGTTCATCCACATTGTAGAGAAAAAAAGGAGAAACACACGGAACCTTTTCTGTTCTTCAGCAACTTCCAACGTTTTTATTCCTTGCTTCACCAATTCTGGCAAGGTTAGAGAGTTTTGCAACATGCTTTAGTACTGAAACAATGTGACTTTAAACCATCCTGACCTTACAGAATTACAGTCTTTACTTAGATTTGGTGCTCTTTGCAAATACTTGGTATATGACAGGAAAGTGCTAAAGAAACAGGTTGCTATCTGTTCACTGTACCAATAAAAAGGCAAGAATGTGCTGCTGTAAATACTTTTCCAGTGAAGAAGCAGGAAATGAACTTTCAGGGCAGTGTCCTCACACTGCATGCAGTGAGACACTGAAAGCTACTCAGGAAACATTGCAAGAGATGAATCAACAATGCTGGCAGTGCAGGGGGATCACAGTGCTCTGCAAACAGAGGGAACACACCACAAAACCTGACTGCACAGCAGCCCTGGGCTCCCAGAGCTGCTGCTGGGGGAAGGAGCAGGGAAGGATTTGGCCAGGAATTCATTCTGACAGCCCTGCAGGAACCTGGGAGGAATGAACACCCAGGCTGTGTTTGTACAATTTCTGATTTGAAAAAAAGAAACTAAAATACCCAGTCTTCAAAACCTGACTAGTCCCTAATGTGGATTGATCTCTGTGTGTAAGTTGACTTTGGTTTAAAACAATTAATTGGGTTATGTTTTCCAAGCTTATGTGTTATAACAAATAACACAGAAATATTTTCAAAGGCATCTTTGGGATGAAAACTTTGGAATTATTTTACAAAAATAACAAAAAATAAATTACTCTTTCTTTTTAAACAGCTATAAAATCCATGAACCAAACAACATATAACATTGACATGAGATGAAATATATTACACTAAAGGCCAGTTAATTACCACAGTGGTATGAGGCTTCAAGTAAATTAGGAGGCACTTTTTGGCTGAGCAGTAGTCACTGATTCAGTGTAAAGTCCCAACTCACAGAAACACATGAAACAAAACTGCTAAAGCTTTCTAAGGTTCAAAATTGAAGAGAGGAGAGGGAGAAGAGAAAGAAGAGAAGGAGAGGAGAGGAGAGGAGAGGAGAGGAGAGGAGAGAAGAGAAGAGAAGAGAAGAGAAGAGAAGAGAAGAGAAGAGAAGAGAGAAGAGAAGAGAAGAGAAGAGAAGAGAAGAGAAGAGAAGAGAAGAGAAGAGAAAAAAAAGAAAGTGCTTATAGAAAGGCAAAGAGCAAAAAGGCCACAGAGGGCACCCAGGTCTGCTGCTTCCCTTCCTGGACTGTGGAGTTCCAACACAATTAAGGCTTCACACAGCAGAGAGGAGCAATAAAACTCCAGGGACATGGGAGAACAGACACAAGGAAAGGCAGCAGCAGGTCAGATGAGAGCAGGTTCAAAGTGGAACAGATTGAACTCCACTCTGATTGAAGGGAGCATTCAGTACTTGCAGAATTCCAGGCATTAATACTTGTTGTGCTCTGTACAGCCCACGTGGAATGGACTGAGTGACCACAGCACCACAATCTGGTATCCTCAAGATCCTCAAGACTAAATCTTCCAGCAAACAAAAGGAGGTGCTGTTGTGGAGGGATTTAAGTACCAGTACATGAATAGGTTACTATGAAATATTGCTATTAAAGTCCCTAACATAACAAAGAGGAAGACAGTAAAGGGTAACTCCAGCCATAAATTACATATTTAGAAGCACTATAAAAAGCATTATTGATATTTAATATAATTACACACACATGTACCTACATGTACTACTGATAACCATACCTAATAGAAGATTGTATTGATTCAGAGGTTAAAAAATTTAGAAGGCAGCACTTTGTGGCACTCCTGTAAAGCACAGTGTGTTCGGGCAAGAAAAGCACAGCACTGAGTGGTCCTTAAGAAATCCCCGTCACCTCAACGAGGTGCAAAGTTCTCCAGCTGGAAGACCAGGTCTACAGCAGCATCCACGTCGGGCACAATGTGGTCTGGCTCCACCAAGGCGGGGTCGAAGCTGAAATCCCGGTGCCCGTGGAACACGTTCTCAGCCACGCTGTCCCTGCTGGGCAGGGCCACCTCGCTGTGGGGGTCGTACACGCCGGTGCAGACCAGCACAGACCTGCAGTGGGCAGCAGCTGCAGGGGCCAGCTCCGTGTGCCAGCTGAGGCCGGGGGCTGTGCCTGCAGGGGCCAGCTCCGTGTGCCAGCTGAGGCCGGGGGCTGTGCCTGCAGGGGCCAGCTCCGTGTGCCAGCTGAGGCCGGGGGCTGTGCCTGCAGGGGCCAGCTCCGTGTGCCAGCTGAGGCCAGGCTGGAGGCGCTGGGCGAGCAGGGAAGGGGCTGGGCCTGCAGCAGCCTGGGCCTGCAGGCGGGCTCGGGGGCTGCGGGCCTGCAGGTAGCGGTTGTACAGGTTGGCTCCGTACACATCCGTCATCACATTGTCCCTGCAAAGCACAAACTCAGTCAGCACCTCAGCTGCAGCTGCCAAAGGCATTGTTACATTTCATCATTTTGAAATAGAGATTGTTGTATTGCACTCAATAGTTTATTTAGTTGTTGTTTTGTTGTTTAGGGTGATTGGAAACTCGTACTGAGGACGGTATGTCACATAGATTGTTATTTCCCCTCTCCATCACATGGTCTCTCCCTCATGCACCCTTCTGCTCTATCCCCTTGTGGTCTGACCCCCTGGTCTCCCCTCACTCCTCCTCCATGGTATCCCATTGATGTGGGCTCTTCCCCTGCCCCCATTCCCTCGGGTATAAAAGGCCCCTGCAAGAAGGCAACGCTCTCTTTTCCACCTGGGAGGTCACCAGAGTCTGAGCTGTCCCTTCCCAGGCCAATGAATGGGACACTGGTCCCCATGTGGAGAAGAGGTTCTCATCTTTTGCTTTGTCCATGTGAGACCGTGCGGGCCAGGGTCCATAGCCAGCCAGAGTGGGCTCAAACAACAGCCTGAGAGACACAGATTCTTACAAGAGATTTTTGGAGTTCACCTTAGTTAGCAATATGAATTAAGCATTTTAATTTTAGCTTGTAGAATTATGTGTTGAATTTTAACCTTTTACTTAAGAAACCTCTGCCATGATACAAAGGGCATAGGAAAATGCAAATTTCTGAAGCTTCTTGCATCAAGAACAATACCAGGAGAAGACCAAGGGATGCAAGAAACCCAGATAAAGGGGCTCCTCTGTCTCCAAGCTGATCAAGGCTGACAGAGGTACTCAGATAAGCACCAAGGTGTAGGGGGATACAGGATGGGTAAATGAAGGTGGTATAGAATGTAACCTTATCCCCTAAAGAGTTGCAGCTGAACCAATTACTAAAGATTAGGAGCAGGCCTGATGTTAACAGGCCACAGCTGTAGGCAATCAGAAGAGTGTTATAAAAGAGTGGCTTGGTGGGAATTGGAGTCAGTTGGCTGCTGTGAGGGTGAGGAAGAGGTGGTGTCTAGAGGAGCTGCCTACAGAAACATCAAGGAGGTACAAAACTCTGGCAATGTGGAACCCTTGCAACGTAATGACAATAGAGCTCTTGCACTATAATGACAACACCAAGGGACCAAAGCACACACACAAAGGAGAAAAGTTCAGAAGTTCAGTCATGAGGAAGACCACAATCTTCGGCCTCAGAGATCACTGAGAGACCCCCGTGTGACCACCACAAGGCATGCCCAGATTACCATGCGAGGCGAGGACAGGCAGGGCCAGGGGTTGAATATGCATGGCAAGGTTGTGCAATGTAATGAATATGGAACATCTTCGAGAATAAAGATGTGGGTCACACCAAGGCTCAGGGCACAAGTTTTCATGAGAGCTGTCTCGCTTGTGCCGGGTGCTGACAATACATACCCACTTCACAACTACATCAGACTGTGGAGTCTATTTATTCTGCCTATTGCTTCAATTTCATCTAACACTTTATTGTATACTTTACACCACTTTGTGTGGAATCAGGCAGACAGGGAGAAGTCCAACCCCTCAGCTATTTTATTGCACTGTTTTCATGAAGCATGATAGGATAAAAATGAATCATTCTCCATACTGGGGCAAGGGGAGAGAAAATCAAGGTATGAGCAGCCCATGAATGAGCTTATTATATTGCCAAACATCTTGGAGATTCTGAAACAGTCTTTAATAAAATGCAGCTTTATCATCTTCTCTGAAAAGGATTCTATGATGTGGCAGCACATGCACCAGCATATGACCAACCTAAATGACCTCAGAGATAAAGTCTAGGTCTGCAGTCTCTAACTGTCCTTTGCTCAAAGGCAGTTGGTGTTACACCACTAAACCTAACAGAATAAACACCCAGGCAAACCCTTTGTGTTAGATTCACACAGCCTATTTCAGAAAAAAACTAAATAAAAAATCAGGAGAAATCTTAGTTGCATATAAAACACCTTTTGTGCTTCTGCAGAAATTACACGTAAAAAGAGCAAAGCATCATTAATCTTTAAGCTTAGAAATGTCATGAAAGATATACCATAGCACCAAGAAAGTTAGATGGTCTTAATGGCAGGAGAAACCAGCTGGTAAGAGTTGTGTGTTTTCCTTGGCTGGCATTTACACTGTGAGTAATTTCCCGGTGTATTTGTCAGGCTCAGCACACCTGACCCCACAGCACAGAGGGTTTGGGATTTCCTGCTCTACCTGTGGGGCTCAGCACAGAGGGTTTGGGATTTCCTGCTCTACCTGTGGGGCTCAGCACAGAGAGTTTGGGGTTTCCTGCTGTACATGTGGGGCTCAGCACAGCTCACCCCACAGCACAGAGGGTTTGGGATTTCCTGCTCTACCTGTGGGGCTCAGCACAGAGGGTTTGGGATTTCCTGCTCTACCTGTGGGGCTCAGCACAGAGAGTTTGGGGTTTCCTGCTGTACATGTGGGGCTCAGCACAGCTCACCCCACAGCACAGAGGGTTTGGGATTTCCTGCCTTGCCTCTGGGGCTCAGCACAGCTTACCCCACAGCACAGAGGGTTTGGGATTTCCTGCTCTACCTGTGGGGCTCAGCACAGAGGGTTTGGGGTTTCCTGCTCTACCTGTGGGGCTCAGCACAGCTTACCCCACAGCACAGAGGGTTTGGGATTTCCTGCTCTACCTGTGGGGCTCAGCACAGAGAGTTTGGGGTTTCCTGCCTTGCCTCTGGGGCTCAGCACAGCTCACCCCACAGCACAGAGGGTTTGGGATTTCCTGCCTTGCCTCTGGGGCTCAGCACAGCTCACCCCACAGCACAGAGGGTTTGGGATTTCCTACTGTACCTGTGGGGCTCAGCACAGAGGGTTTGGGATTTCCTGCCGTGCCTCTGGGGCTCAGCACAGCTCACCCCACAGCACAGAGGGTTTGGGGTTTCCTGCCTTGCCTCTGGGGCTCAGCAGACCTTACCCCACAGCACAGAGAGTTTGGGGTTTCCTGCTGTACCTGTGGGGCTCAGCACAGAGAGTTTGGGATTTCCTGCCATGCCTCTGGGGCTCAGCAAACCTTACCCCACAGCATAGAGGGTTTGGATGGGCTGCTCCCAGCTCCTCTGCAGGGCCTGGGCCCGGATCAGGTGCTCTGCATACTGGTATGTCAGCCTGCTGGGTTTGCCCATCAGCGCCTCGTACTTCAGGTCTTTGCCAGTGATCTTCTTGTAAATGTTTTCCAAACAAACCATGAACGTTCCATGCCCAAACCTACAGAGATATAAAACCAAACCATGAACTTTCCATCCCCAAATCTACACAGATATAAATCCAAACCATGAACGTTCCATCCCCAAATGTACACAGATATAAAGCCAAACCATGAACATTCTGTGTCCAAACCTACACAGATATAAATCCAAACCATGAATGTTCCATGCCCAAACCTACACAGGTATAATACCAAATCAAATTACATTAAGCACAGATTTAAAACATCAAACTAGGCTTTTTTATTTCATTATTTTTTAGGCATAAATTGTGTCCTGCAACTACCAATTTCTGCTCAGCATGGAACATTTCTGCAGCTGGTTCACTGAAAATTAAGTGCTGATTAACTGAACAACTGTCACCACAATAAACCCACATTACTGGGATGGCACAACAGATTTATCTAATTTTAAAATTGCTCACTGGAGGTGTCCTGGCTGCCTTACTGCAGCCTGAAGCCATCACACAGATATCTTTTCCAGTGTGTTAATTAGAGATGGCCTCTGCTTCCAAAGACATATCTGAACAGATCTTTGACCCAGGACTGAGGCAGCAACCAAGTCACAGTAAGAAGTTTCTATTTCAAATTACAGACTGAGGGGAAGGGAGGGGAAACAAACCTATTAAAGAAGTACCTTCTATTAAAGCCAAATCAAACAAAACCACTCTAAGAGGTCCTGGCACCTTGTTCTGCATGTTCTGCTTGTTTTTCCTTGTGTTCCCTAAAGAGCTCACTGCATTGTCCTCAGCTCAGAACCACTCACTGCTTACAACCAACAGGGTCAGCTCTTTACCCTACCAGGAAAAGAGAAATACCAAAGAGGGACCTAATGAAATGAAACAATGGCCTTGATAATTTTTTTCATTTTTGCCTTTGAACCGAGGCTCTGAGGCCCTCAGGAAAAAACCTCTCTTTCTCCATTGTTCTGGGACTGAGGAAACAAAAGGTTTAGAGCTTAAAAGCAGCTTTTCTCTTGAGAAGTGATTTCCTGGATGCAGTAATGCAGCCAGCAAACAGGCAGCATTAGCTGAAAGTGCATTAGAGATGTTGCATTCCAAGCCAAGCCATCAAGCATTCTGTATTCAAGTGCTGACTCTGAATCCTGCTGGAAAAATGAGGAAGCCCCAGATGAATCCCAGTGACATGAATAAAGCACTTACCTTGGGGACTGTGCCTCAGCCACCCACATCAGGTCCATGTTGCAGGCCAGCACAGGAATGTGAGGGTAGTTTTCCTGCCCATAGGGGTTGCCAGGATAGCCACTGGTCAGCAGAACATCAATTATCAGCTGCAGGCTGGTTTCCCATCTCACTGGCTCCCCAAACAGCACCACAGCTGGGAGAAGCACAGGCACAGAACAGTCATGGAATTGTTATCAGAGCACTGAGGCCTAAAACTTGGCCTCAAGAGACTGAACAAGTCATTTAAAATAACCAGGAACTGATCAAACAGTCACATTAATTTAGGGGCTTAATATATCACATGCCCATCCAATGACAGAAACTCAGAAGTAACAAGACCCCACTGCAAAATCTACAGGTTTAGGAGTTTTATTTTACAGGTGAAGTTTCTCCAGAAATTACAATATTAACTTCTAAATTGTATTTCTAAATCTCCCATAACTTTTGAGTTCCCTGTTTACATGCAGTATTTAAATATAACACTAGAAATGTTGATTTGTTCACCTCAGAACACAATTTGGATGTTGTTTTTAAAAATTGCTTTGGTCTCCAGCAATAACCTGACATGGATATTTTTAAATCCTAAGGTCCAATTTCTACTTTCCTGTAGTTCAGATGAGATGAGAGTGAACACAAGACCCTTCTCATACTACAGCTGATCCTGACTACTTGTAAGAACAAGATTAATTATTTCTGAATAATGAACATCAGTTCATTATGAAAGGAGAGCAACAATAGTCTGTTAAAGGCAGATGAAGAGGAAAGGAGACCTCATATACCCTTCAAACTTCAAAACCCAGTGGCTGAAAGCTGCACACATTGAAAAACAGCTTTACAACACATGATGCTTTCAAATGAATGACAGATATCATTAACAAGGAAATTTTAGGATTGTCTCAGACAAATTTTCAAAGTGCCCAACAATCTAAAAAATCATTTCTGATAATAAAATAGAATAGAATAGAATAGAATAGAATAGAATAGAATAGAATAAAGATATTTCATTTATTAATGGATAGATGCAAGTTAAATAAAGATAACTGACCCTCAATCTTGGGAAGCTCCACAGCAGACGGGGACTGCAATAAGAAAAAAGGGAAAGTTTTCTACAAGATGAAACATCTATTTTTAACAGAATAAATTCCAGCTCAGCTCCCACAGCTGTCTCCTGCCACTCCAAGAGGAAATGCTCTCTACATTGGTATATTCCTGACATCAGTTCACTCACTCATCACTTGTGTTTCCTCTCTGAAGTGACAGCTCTGGCACAGGGACAGCAGTGACTGTGCTCTACCTGCACCTGCCTCCTGCTTCTCCTCAGCTGCCTCTGGAGTTTTTTAACTCCAGTTGTTAAAACTACTTGTGTTGTGATTTCAGTTGTTTAAATGACTTGTTTAATTAGTTGTTTTAACTACTTGTGTAGAAAAGTATGGATGTTTATTTTTCCACAGGAGTAAGAGGCTTCCAGCAGTACCAAGACATTTGAAAAACAGTTTTTGAGATGTTTTTCTTTAACACTTCTAATAAAGAATGCACTGTATAACATGTAATATATTTGCTAAACAATTAAGAGCCTGACTTCATTATTTACTCTGTGTGGTGACAAACACTTTAACAGGCTCTTGACCTTCCATCCCCATGGGTGAGGAGCCCAGCAAAAGGTGCCACAGCTGAGCTATGATTCTGTGAGCCACAGAGAATGTGTTTATTACAAGTGAGGAAATCCACTCTGTAGGCTGGCCCTGAGCATGTACAGCACACCCAGCTATTCACTTCTGCTTCAATTCTGGACAATCCAACTGGAACCACTGTAGCCACTGCTGCCATTCAAATAGTGCTGTAAACAGCAAAGGGAGTCCTTTGAGGGAAAGTTATTTTCTTCAAAGCATTCATTTGCAATCAAAGTAACCTCGTGGGTTAGAAACAATAGCAACACAATCATATATTCAGGGAAAAGCTTATGTTATCTTCCACACCTTCTGAGGAAGCTAATCAGCTTTCCAAGGCAGATTTTGCATTAGGTATCTGTATTAGATTGTGAGTTTTCCCACAACAGCAGGCTATAAAATAAAAGGCTGAGTTAAAGAATTACTACTGAGAGAAAAGAGTTGTTCTTGAGAAAGTTGTAATAAAACAAATAAGGAAGTAGAAAAGCAAAGTCAAAATACAATGTAAGAACAGCAGCAGTTGCTTGGTAGTTAAATATTGATCCCTGTTATAGGATGTCATGCAAGGAGCAAACAGAGAGGTTTGAAACACAAATCTCACTCACCAGGACATTGGGTCTTCTGTCATGGTCAACTGCATCGAGCAGAGGGCGTTTCTCCCTCAGAGTGTCTATGGTGATGGGCTGGCAGAAGCCAAGGCTGGGGCAGCCAGCTAAGGACACACAGCTGCTCACAGGGAAAGGGTTTCTGACTGCTCATTCCACCTTAACCATTTAAAGGTATTCAACTGACAAATTGGTTAGCAATGAAAGCAACATCAAAGACAGAATTTCCTTCTGTGAGACAAAAAGATGATCTGATAAATGAGAGACCAAAGTTCTCCTGTTTTGTTTTCAGTCCTCTCATCTACTTCTCTCTTAGCCAAGCCTAATGAATTTTGAATTTAGAAATGCATTTCTAAGAGACAATACCTTCAATACCTTTTTCTCAGTTTTGTACTTCAAATAGAGCTTATGCTTAGAAGTTGTATATACATTTTTACAACTTATTATTTACACCAACTTCAATGAAAATCCCACTGCAGGAAGAAGTGCAGAAGGGACTTAATGGAAGCCTGAGCAAAATTTATGCAAAAGTTAAGGTTATTAAGTTACAGTTTGAGATTTTGATACCATCATGATATCAATATAATTCAAGTCCTTTGGGCACTTGGTATAAAGCCACATTAAAGCATAAATTTGGCACCATACTAGGAACTATCATTACTATTTATTACTGCATTTGTAGGGTTGAAATATTTGATTTTCATTTCATCTATAGGCTCCCCTGAACCTGATTAAGGAAAACACTTTGGCAGAAAGTTGTTGGCTTTTTTAAACTCTTTTTTAAAAGATACTCTTGAGCAATATCAAGAAGGGGTCCTTGTCCAGATACCAGGACACATTTTTTATGATAACGCTTGAACATCCGCAGGGGACTGTGGGACATCATCACTTGATCTTGGGAAATCTGTTTGGGATTTAAAAACAAAAGGACTCTGTTGTATTCCAGAGAAGTTGTTTATACATAGATTCAATTAACAGATGTGACAGATTCCAGGAATTACATAACAATCAGCATTTTCTCCTTTCACAAATGATGTATTGATAATATGCCAGAAAAAAATACCTTACTGACAAGTTATCACACATCCCCCTTCAGCTTCCAGCTCGATTCAACATGAACAAGCCTTTCTCTCCTGGTTTTATAAAATCACCAAATTCATTTGGAAGCAAACAGGGAAGGAGAATCAGAACTGGTTCCAGTTGTGGGCCCTTTGCTAAACTGCAGCTGTGATTTAATTGTACCAGATTACCACCTTCTTTTAGCTAACATATCCCCACCCCTTCAGCAGGACAGGTAGTAACCAGTAAGACTATTATTCTGGAAATATACTCCTGGGAATCACTACTTACCATCCAAAGAAATACCTTTAGCTTTACTATTGGAAAAACCAGTGCCTTTACCAGTTAGTTTTGGACAGCACTTTTTACTTTCAGCAAAGCAAGTCAGGGGGCTTAAGGGACAAGCAGCCCTGATGAAGTGAGCAGCATTTAATGGAAGAGAACACATCTGACACATCCAACATGCAGTAAATGGCATTGAGGTGACTCACTGGAACCCCCAGCAGGTGGGACAGCTGCTCAGCCTTCTTCTGGCGCAGGCAGTTCCCAGCGTTGGTGACAAAGACCACGGGCACCAGGAACTGTCCCTGAGGGTTGACCAGCTTGCCAAAGGCTGCTCTGGCAGCAGGAATGGGGGTCCTGCCTCGCACCAGCACCCCATCGATGTCAAACAGGAATCCAAAGGATGGCAGCACGCCGGGCTGGGAGGGATGAAACCAGAGGGTACATTGGTTATGCATGTCCTTACACATATTTAATAGAGTTTACAGCAGCTACAACCCCCTGAGAACAGGCACCTCCAGTGACAGCAGGAGAGCCATAACCCTGCACATCTTAAGGCTAAAAACATGTTGACACAAGCAGCACCACAACTCCCTCTGCCTTATGCATACAGACTCATGAGAGCTATTTTGCCTTACAAATAGTTCCAGATTATTTCAGAGGATAGGGAAAAATTAACTTAAACTGATGCCAAGAGGTACAAAATACATGCTGCTGTGCCAGTGAGTCACACTTCAATGGCTTAACCCCCACAGAATACTAGGAAAATATGCAAAAGTAAGTTTTTCAGCAGTAGGCAGGTCTTGGACACAAGTATTGTACTTGGCTGCTCCCTTACAAGGTGTTTGTAGTAAAACTGTTCTGTTCCACAAGAGTTTGATTACAGCCAAGAGCCTGCTGTGCTCCTACACATGGCTTCAGTCCCAGTTTCACACAGGGCAGGCTAATTGGCAAAGTCAGCACCTCCTTACACCAAGGTGCTGCTCGAGTTACTAAAATGTATCTCCTTGCCTGCCTTTGGGGCAGTGAGGAGCTGGACTTGGTGAGCCCCGGCAAGGAGAGTGAGCAAGGATGAGCTGGGGTATGAGGGCAGGGAGCAGAGCCAGTGAGAGGAGTGTGAGCAATGAAACTGTAACTGGATCAGGGTGGAAAAGCATGGAACAAAACCCATCATCTAAAACTCATCTCTCTCCCGAGCCTAAAGCAGGAACCAGGAACCTCGGGATTTATGGCCAGTGATGAAAAGGGAGGGGTTAAGGGCCGGGGCTGAGCACGATGAGGGAACAGGCACAGAAAGGACTGCAGCCATGGGAGCTGGGACAGCCTTGGCTAACAGGCACAGAAAGCACTGCAATGATGGAGCTGGGACAGCTTTGCTAACAGGCACAGAGAGGACTGCAGCCATGGGAGCTGGGACAGCCCTGCTAACAGGCACAGAAAGCACTGCAATGATGGGAGCTGGGACAGCTTTGCTAACAGGCACAGAAAGGACTGCAATGATGGGAGCTGGGACAGCCTTGGCTAACAGGGACAGACAGGACTGCAATGATGGGAGCTGGGACAGCCTTTGGTAACAGGCACAGAAAGGACTGCAATGATGGGAGCTGGGACAGCTTTGCTAACAGGCACAGAAAGGACTGCAATGATGGGAGCTGGGACAGCTTTGCTAACAGGCACAGAAAGCACTGCAATGATGGAGCTGGGACAGCTTTGCTAACAGGCACAGAAAGGACTGCAATGATGGGAGCTGGGACAGCCTTTGGTAACAGGCACAGAAAGGACTGCAATGATGGGAGCTGGGACAGCTTTGCTAACAGGCACAGACAGGACTGCAGTGATGGGAGATGGGACAGCCTTGGCTAACAGGCACAGACAGGACTGCAGTGATGGGAGCTGGGACAGCCTTTGCTGCCAGGGCTGGCTCAGGGCACGCACCCGCAGCCGCTGTGTCTCCTGTGCAGGAGCAGAAGGGCACTTTGCCTACTCGAGCAGCACTTTGTTCCATATCAGTTATTCACACACCACGTTTTTCCTGCAGCAGGCACAGCCCAGGGACAGGCACCGCTGGGAATGGGGTGCAGCTCAAACAACAGCGGGAATCCGCCCCCCCAGGCAGCCCGAGTTAATAACGGCAACACCGTAAATAAATCGCATTCCCATTCATTTAAATTAGGCTGGGAGTTTGTCTTTACATGCAAGAACTCCCCCCGAAGCCTTCTCCTCTCTCCTCTGTAGAATCATCACCCTTTTAAGAACAAAACCCCCCAAGTCCTTGTCTCCACATAGCCTGCACCCATTTCAGGAAAGCTAGATCAGAAATAACCCAACTGCTGAAGAGATGCTGCTAAAGGCTCGCTAATAAAAACAAAGTCTTCCCAGGCTTTGTGAATGGGTACCTGAAACTGCTGAAACTGCAGTGGCATTGGAATAATTTTGTAGCAGATGAGATCCTTTACGTTAATTTTGCGACATATAAATAGCAGATGTATAGATAACAGATTACAAATGGGAATTTCACAGTGAGTAACACGAGCAGGAAGAAAAAGAAAGGGGGGAAAGGCAATAAGGAAAGAACTGAAGATATATATGAGATAGATATCATGACAGATAGAGGTAATGAAGTCGGCAGCTTTGTTTCCCTTTTGACCCCAAAAGAAATTGTTGGTGGCAGGAGCGCTGTGCCGCGCTGCACAACCAAAGGGACAGAGCCGGCAGTGGTCGGAAGGAGTTTCCCTGGTTCTCTCTGTAAGCCCAGAGCACACGCAGCCCCGGGACAGGAGTTGCGGCCGGCAATGCCCGGGAAATCTGTCCCGGCGTGCCGGGGAAGCGAGGATGCCCCCGGGCATGCCCGAGCACGGCGAGTGGCCCGGCTGCGCTCCGCCGCGCCCCGCGCCCGTTTCGCTTTCGCTGCGCCCCGGCCCGCCCGCCCCGGGCCCCGGCCCCGGCCCCGCTCACCGCGCTGTGCCCGCTCCGCCCGGCCGAGGGGCCGCGCATCCCGCGGGGCGCCGGCAGCCGCGGCGGGCGGGCGGCCCCGAGCAGGGCGCGGAGCGGCGGCAGCGCCCGGCGCATGGCGAGCGGAGTGCGGGGCCGGCAGCCGCCCCGCCCGGGCCCGCGTCACTCACGGGGCAGCGTCACCCGCGTCACGGGCCGGCGTCAGCCCGGGCAGCCGAGCAGCGCCCTGCGACACCGCCGCGCCCGCACAGCCCCCGGGGCTCGGCCCCTCCGGCGCACCGCGGCTGGCGGCACTGCCCAGAGCAGTCAGCACAGCAGCCCGACCCAGAGATAACTGCTGTTCGATTCAGCAACAGAGCAGAGGAACCATTCTGTCTGACTCTGCCTGGTGAAGGGACTGGAGCATCTCTCTTCAAGGAAAGGCTGAGGGAGCTGGGCATGAGAGGGAAGCCAAGAGGATGGAGCAGGATCTGCTTGGTGGTGCCAACCATTTGGACACGAGGAATGGGCAGGAACAGATGTCCAGGAAGAATTTCTTCCCTGTGCAGTGACTGAGCACTGGAACATTGTCCAGAGAGGGTGTGGACTTGTCTCACTGGAGCTACCCCAGAAGTGTCTGGACAAATCCTGTGCCCTGTGCTCTGGGATGGCCCTGCTGGAGCAGGGAGTTTGGAGCAGATGCCCCACAGTGGTCCCTTCCAGACTGACCCATTCTGTGATTAATTTTCTAGGAAAAAGCCTAACATGCACAAACACCACAGTCCCTCAGCTCTGCACCCCTGCAGCTAAACTTGAAAGTGAGAAAAGCAGCACAAGATGTCATTAGTTAATGGATCCTCTGCAAAGCTGTCTCTGTTTATCTTGCTCATCTGCTAATGCAGATTAGGTAAATCCACTTATTTCCTAGTGCTGCCAACAAATATTCCTCAGCACCCCTGTGACTGAGGAGAAACTGATCCTTCAGGGACTGCACTGCACTCACCAGGACACAGAACAAGGAAGGTGCCTTCCATCTGCAGCACTGACGTGGCTGGCATTAAATGAAACACACAAACGCATTTCTAAGAGACAAAAGCAGACCCAAATCGATGCAGCAGACACAACAATTAGAGAGGTTATGCCCTTGCTCAAGCCAGGATAACACACAGGGCAGAACTCTGAGCACACATGTAAGAATACATCAAGTACTTGTTTTCTAAGCTGGATGTGCTCAGGGCTGAGGCATTCCAGAGATGGAATGAGCCATAAGCCTGGCACACACACACATCCCAGCACAGCTGCACTCAGAGCTGAGCCTGCCCACTGCTCCATTCTCCAGGACAAACAGGAGCCATTTCCTGGCTGTGACCACAGCAGCTTCCCCACCCTGGCTCCACCAGCAATTCCACACCCTGGCAGGACACAGGATTTTGCTATAGGCCACTCTGGGAAATAATTACTGTGCAATTTGTTCCCTCAAATGCAGCCAAGAGCACTCAGCTCAAAAATGCTCCACACTCAGAGCTACAGAGAGAGGATCTGGCACAGCAGGGCCAGGCAGCAGCCAGTCTGCCTTGCAGTTACACACAGCAGTTCTGTGTGTTTATTCCTTTTCTGTGTTGGCTGGCAGAGATCAGCCCTGTCTATAAACTTGCCTTTTACATCATGATGTTGGTCACACTCCTTTGAACATGAATGTAATTACAATCCTGATGGTTTTTTTTTCCCCATTCTTTCCATGTATTCTTCTTTTGTATTTCTGTTATCATCACTCTGTCCCTGATCTGCTTTTACCCTTGTGTGTTCTTTTATCTTATAAATTCATACACTGACAGAAGGATCCACCATTGGTATCACCAAGCCCTCAGACTGTTCAGGTCATAAGAATCAGCTGGTTTTTCCCCTGCTTAAATCTAGTTTGGTTATCTCCAGTCTACACTTAAGCAAATCTACAACAAATTATCATAAGCCATAAGACATTGTTTGCTGCTTTCTTACAAAGCAGAGAAAGCTGCACTGCTGCCAGGAAGAGAAAAGAATGTGTTTGTGATGTTAGTTGTCTGCTTGCTACCAATAATTGAGCTTTTGATTTATTCTGGGGTTGTTTTTTCTAGTTTTAATTTGGCAGCTATGCTTTCCACTTTTTCAATTCCTTTTTTTTTTTGTCTGATCACTTCATCAAGTAACACAAAGCTTGTCTCTATAATTTAGAGCTTTAATTGTTCTGGAGTGGATTATTCACAATAGATTGCAATAGATAAATCCTGAGAGCATCCAGAAATGCTGAACAGTCCTAGACCTGGCTGTTCAATACTCTGTTCCTTAGACAGAAATTCTGCAGGGCTGCAGCTGTCCACCTTCAAATGCCATTCATTCAGACCTGTACAACAGCATTAGTCATCCATAAGACTTGGACCAGGCTCTACCTTGCCTCCTGTCCCAGGATTCACAAGCCAAGAGCAGTAGGGGATGCAGAGCTTCAATCCCTACAGGGATGGCTGTCTATGATCCCAATCTTTGGCTACCACTAGGGAATCATCACAATCCTTTGAGCTAGAATAAAACAGACATCAGGTTGTAAATAAGTTTTAATAAAAAATATTTGAACAAAGTATTGCAAAGTTTTTTACAGTAGCTGCTGGAATATCCAGCATTTAAGCAATTCATCCGGGCACAGTTACAAACCACAAAAAAGGTAACAGGTTTTAGACATTGCATGTGTTTTAGAAAGAATTAAATCTGCTCCAAGGTCACTCCTAAAATCTGCCTTCAAGGCCCCTCTAGACAGGTTCCAGGTTATTCTGGCAAATGAAGCAAGTGTAATAGTGTGAGTTACTTCTCAGCTCAACAATACCCAGCACGAGAAGATGTGCACACTTACAGAGCAGACAGGATGGCAGGAACACCATGGGTTTTCTTCCAGGATTGAGGAGCTCACTGGGTGTGGTTCTATCTGCAGGAGGCCCCACAGCACAGACCCTGTCCCAAACTGCAAGTACTCAAGGCAGCTGTCAGAAGCACAGACGAGTTCACCAAGGTTTGACCCTTTCCAGCACACCACGCTGTAATCCCAGCAGCCTGCTCCACATCCAAAGGAACTTGCAGAGCTAAAACCCACTGCTACCAGAACTCAGGAGCCTGCTGCTTTCAGAGGGATTCCCCACAAGCAGGACACTGTGCACTGCTACAATCCCAGCAGTGTCTTTGCCTCCTCGCTCTGGGCCAGGAGGGTTTCACTGGCGTACTTCTGCAGCAGCTCCATCTTCTTTCTTCGTACAAGAGCTTCCTCAATCTGCAGAGATAAAAACAGGGGGGATTCAGCTGAGATGCTGAGCCCTCAGATACTCAGCTATACCACAACACCTCCCAATTTATGGAATACTTAGGAAAGTTTTGGAAATTCATAGGTCAAAAGGGTTATAGCATTTGCAAGGGGATTAAAGAGCTGCAGAGTCAAGTCACAGAAATCACAAATTTAGGGCCCTTTCACTGATGACCTGATGTAAATTAAGATGTGTCTTGCAAAAGCCAGTGTGCATCTCTGCAGCTGAGTGCTGTTCTGCCTTACCTCCTGTTGAGTTGGCACTGGAACATGTGCAATAAATTTCTGTTGGCCGTCTTCACCTTCTCTCTCCTTGCCACCTTCCTCATCAGACTGAAAAGTGAAAAAATCACATCAAGGTTATTTTCTATAGAGGTCATAAAATCCCTTTTTCACTTGCTTTGCCAGAAGGAACAACACATGATCAACACTACAACACAGGAATGAGTGAAGAGGACCCAGCACCAAAAGAACACGAGGATCACATGCACACCCTGCTCCTGGACACTTTCAGCACTACTGCTTCCATTTCTCATATGGCCTTTGCTCTGCTGTGGCATGGCCACGGATGTAAAGCTGTATCTCCTTCCCTTCCCTAACTCTGGGTGCCACAGCAAAGCTGTGAACAGAAGAGGAGCCAGCTAAGCAGCAAGTGCTATAAAAATATGGGTACCACTTCCCTGTACAGCTCTGTACTGCTCTGGTCCCACACTCAACAGCTGGGCTCGTGAACCATGGGATTATACAAATAAAACAGGTACTGGAGGAGCCACCAGATCCACCTGATGGATTGTCACAGACACATTGTATGAAAAATCCTTTCCTTAGGATTTTTCCTCCTGAGAAGCTGAGAGGCCTCAGGAACAAAATGTAACCAATGGTTATCTGCTGCTGTGGAATGCAACAGGTGCATCTGGGATTGGGCTCATGTGGTTGTTTCTAATTAATGGCCAATCACAGTCAGCTGGCTCAGACTCTGAGACACAAACCTTTGTTATCATTCTTTCTTTTTCTATTCTTAGCCAGCCTTCTGATAAAATCCTTTCTTCTGTTCTTTTAGTATAGTTTTAATATAATATATATCATAAAATAATAAATCAAGCCTTCTGAAACATGGAGTCAGATCCTTATCTGTTCCCTCATCCTGGGACCCCTGTGAACACCATCACAATGGATTCCTCCTTTTTATTCTTGTGCTTAACCCACCCAGGTACAGACTGAGAAATGAGACCTTGTTTCCAGTACCCTTCTCCAGATCTCACTGGCAGCAGATCTCATGTCAGAAGAAACAGCCATGTCACAGCAGTGACAGCAGCTCCACCAAAGCCCTGCTGCATCATGATCTAAGGGCAAACAAGGCCCTGCAGCCCTTGGGTTTTCACCCAGTGGCAGTGTGACATTCTCCTGTCCCCAAAGCTGCTTGTGCAGTTACTGAGGCAGGTTGTGCTCAGGAGCCAGACTGAGCAGTGTTACCAACACACCAATGACAATAACAGTGCCACTGAAATCACAGCAAGGTGTTTCTCACTGCAGTGAAAGGTCTGTCCTCACCTGCCAGCCCCCAGCACTCCCTAAGCTTGGGCCAAGAGCACTCCCCTGCTACTGATTCTCCAGGTGGGGAGAGGGCCAGCACAGCAGCAGACAGGTCCTTGGCAGGGTAATGCCATGTCCAAGAAGGAAGCACAGAAGTCACATGAAAAGTCACAGCACCTGAGCCACCCCTACCTCTTCCTCGTGGACAGCATAGATGTTTTCTTCCTCCTCCTCCTCACCTCTTGCAAGTCGTGCTTCTCTCTCCATCTTCCACTTTTCCACTGCTTCTGCTATAACTGGGGAGCAAAGGAAAATGGCAAGTGTGGCTGAGAGCCAGTCAGAGCTCTTCCAATGGACTTAAACCCTTTGCCTAAATCCTCTACATCAGAAAAAAAAGGTGCCTTCAGTTCAGAGTGCATCAGCAGCCCTTGCTGGGCTGCTCTGTGCAGGTTTGGAATCTCACATACCTTTCTTCTCATGCTCCTGCTCCAGGGGCTCCAGAATGCCATCATCCTCATCCCTGTAGCCATAGTACTCAGCATCAATGTCCTTCATCAGCTCAGCCCGAGTCTTCCGTGGGGGTGGCAGGGCTGCAAGAACACCACTGTCACCCACCAGGCCACCTCCATCGCCTGCTCAGTGTCCCCAGGTGTGCCCAGCCTCACAGCACCACAGCTGCCTCGTGCCAGCCAACACCCAGCACCATGGAGCTGCTGCCAGCACTGGGAGCACTGGTGTCACCCTGTGGCCTGCACAAACCAGCTCCAGTACATGACCCAATGGTTCCCCCACACCCTGGAGTATTTGCCATAATTTGTCTCTGCCTCACTTTCAGGCCCAAGCAATTCCACTCATTTCCAATTTCATGACAAAGTTTCATCCCCTTACCTCCAGTTTTTCATTATGAAAACTCATTCCTGCTTCAAAAATTATGCTCAACCCAACTTTCCCTTCTTCTAGTCCTGAACTCTGAGTACCACTTACAACTTCTCACTGAAGTTTGCCTCTTATGCTGAAAGTTTCTATAGGACATCAGTCCTTACCATGTGGAATTCCCAGTAGGAACCAGTCTGCTCCTTACTACATTTCCTTAATTGCAAACAGCCCAAGCTGCTCTAGCATTTAGTTATTTATTTATGTGTGCTCAGTGTTTCACTGAGCTGGCCTAAGACATTCAGAAATGCTGTTACCAGCACTCCCCACAAACTACAACAGCATTTTACTCAAGACATTCTACTACACAGATTCATGTCTGGGAGGAGCTGCTCTTTACTTACGTTCCTTTTCAAAAAGTTCTCTTACTCCTGGCAAATCCTTTGCAGCCCCAAAGTATTTGTAGCCTCTGTTTCCTGGGACCTCTTTCCCTTCATGATCTAACATTTTTGGGCCAATCCTCTGGAAAATAAACAGAGTTCATAGTTTAAAACTTTCTTCTAACACAGCCAAACATTTCAGGGGCTAAATTAAAATAACACTGGTGAAGCCATCCATGGCTAACTAAATGTTACATATTTTTCTCAGCAGTCACTTCACTTGTGAGCAGAACCACCATGCAGAACACATTCCACACTTACAGCATAATCTGGACCTCCCAGCTCCTTTATTCTGTATTCCCAGTGTCCTTTCTCCCTCAGGAGTTTGTTTATTTCATCGTTCAGGTCCCGAATTCTGAATTCACCCAATCCAGCTGTTAGAGAGGAAAAAATCCAAAAAATTAGGAAGCTCAGAGAAATACCAGAGGAATTTCAGAATTTATTGCAATGGAAACAGTACAGTTTACATGAAATGGGATTTTTACTGGAACTGCTTATGACTGGATATTCAAAAAATAAAACCTAGTTAGAAAAATCTTACCATTTTGGATCTGTGCCACTTTCTTGGAAATCTCCCCAATGATCTAGTCAAATAAGAACACAGAAATTAATTTCTCAACCAGTGGAGGGAACAAAGAAGACAGAGCAAGATTGTTTGAGAAGTGCATGGCAATAGGGCAAGAAGCAATAAAACACAAGTTGAAGCTGGAGAAATTCTGATTAAATTCAAGGGGAAAGAAATCATTAGGAAGATTGTTCCAAAATCATTTGGAACAGCAGCTCCAAGAACCTGGAATCTAAATCCCTGGAGATGTTAAAGACTCAGCAGGACATGGCCTTGCAGCAACCTGATGTGGTAGGAGCTACTCTTAACACTGAGCTGTACAATCTTAGAAAATGTTCTGTGATTTAACTGTCAGGGTACTGCAAGTGTGGAAAACCCCTGTAAGCAGGCTGTCTAAGCAGGAAGTGTAAAGTTCTACTTCCTACAGAATTAGAAAATGCACAGGCTGGCATTACCTGTCTCCTCCATTTCTCAGCTTTGGGCAGCTCATTGCACTCTGAGGCAAGGAAAGGCCTTCGCTCCTGTTGACAGAACAGCACACACGTGGGATTCAGCTGAGCACTGACACAGCATTTCACACAGGCTCTACTGCTCCACTAATGCCAAATTATGCTACCAAGCTCCAGGGCCTTCTGCTGCCATCGAGTTGTAGTAAGTGAAGAACAGTAATGATTTACAGCCCTGACAAATTAAACTATCACAGACTACAAAAACCTACTTAGATCCACTTTATCCAAACTAAAATCTCTCACCCCATAATCCTTTCCAATACAACAAATGTTATATTCAGGAAAATTTCACCATTTTCAGCACACACCACCTTCTTAAGTTTAAGCTTTTCTCAATGCTACTCCTAAACAATGTAATTTTTTCCAGTTTATACAGAGTACCTTCTTCCCAACCTTCTTCACATTCCATTGGCTTGCTTATACAAACTGATGCATCATCTTGCTTCTAGGGTTTTGTGAGCAGTTATTTTGTCTCCTTCCCCACAGTTCTACCTTTTATTAAAAGGCTACCTTTTTACTAAAAGCTCCACCTTTTATTTAAAGGTATTAAACCCCTTTTCTCTGCAAAATATGCAATATGAAACAGAAAAGTAAAAAAGGTTTGGAGTAACTTTAGTGGAGAATTTTCCTGCCTGTGTGAGTGTGAAATACAGTCAGCTGAAATATTTTCCTTCTAACTGGAGTCAAGCACAGAATACCTGGGCTCTGAACAAGGCCTGCCTTGAGCTACCAAACCTCCAGGGCTTTTACACCTCACCTTGACTTTTCCTTCCTCCAGCTGAGCTTGCCGAAACCTTGCCAAGGCCGTCCTAAAGAGAAGAAAGCAGATTTACTTTCACAAATCCACATTCCAACAGGAACAAGCTTTGCTCTGGATGCTTATTATGGACTCAATTACAGTCTGTAAAAAACAAAGGCCTGAACACATTCACTGAGCACCTCCAGCTCTTCCAGCTAATGACTTCTCAACACACAAAATCCTCAGTGGTTCATTTCTCAAGTAAAGCAATGCTGACTGATTCCTCCTATCTGGCCTGGCATCTCTGTTGCCAAAATGGGAACTGCCTAAAACCACAAGGGTCCTTTACAGCACATTTCAGTGTACTCATCCCCCAGCCTGCAGGAGGACAAGTACATTACTACAGGGTCTCTCCTACACAGAACCACCCAGCACAGCTACAGGAGCTGCACAGCACCAGGTACATGTGTGTGCAGGTGTCCTCCAACTCCCACTGCCTCTGGGCCAGCACACGCACAACTAAGTACCCAAAAATATCATTAAACTGTTGGTGCTTTAAAAGAGGCTGAACAGGGAGTTCTATGGGCCAGCCAGTCACAGATGTGTGTTCTGTGGGCCAGCAGGCTCAGGTGTGTGAGATCAGGTACAGTCGGGCCCAGCAGCCACGGATGTGTGAGACCAGCTCTGAGGTGAGCCGGGGCTCGGAGGTGTCCCTGGCGCACTCACATGGCCTTCTCCGCGTTGCGAGCCTGCAAGACACAAACAGAGCGGCCTCAGGCACCCCTGTCCCTGCCCGGCTCCTCCAGCGCTCCCAGCCTTTGGCTGTTCCCCTCCGAGCCCCTCACCGGGCAGTGGCACCAGGGGACAACAAGTGCCGAGTGGCCCCTCAGCCCTGCGGTCACCATGGTCCCGCCGTGCCCTCAGCCCCTCAGTCCCGCACTCACCATGGTCCCGCCGTGCCCTCAGCCCCGCACTCGCCATGGTCCCGCCGTGCTCTCAGCCCCGCACTCACCATGGTCCCGCCGTGCCCTCAGCCCCTCAGTCTCAGCCCCGCACTCACCATGGTCCCGCCGTGCCCTCAGCCCCTCAGCCCCGCACTCCCCATGGTCCCGCCGTGCCCTCAGCCCCGCACTCCCCATGGTCCCGCCGTGCCCTCAGCCCCGCACTCACCATGGTCCCGCCGTGCCCTCAGCCCCTCACTCACCATGGTCTCGCCGTGCCCTCAGCCCCTCACTCACCATGGTCCCGCCGTGCCCTCAGCCCCTCAGTCCCCCACTCACCATGGTCCCGCCGTGCCCTCAGCCCCTCGGTTCCAGCCCCGCACTCACCATGGTCCCGCCGTGCCCTCAGTCCCGCATTCACCATGGTCCTGCCGTGCCCTCAGCCCCGCACTCCCCATGGTCCCGCCGTGCCCTCAGCCCCGCACTCACCATGGTCCCGCCGTGCCCTCAGCCCCTCGGTCCCGCCGAACGCGCCGCGCACGCAGCAGCTCCAAGCCCCGGAACTGAACCCGGTCCCGCTCCCCAGTGCGCCTGCGCGCCCCGCTCGCGCAGGATCGGGTGACCCCACTTGGCGCATGCGCGCTGCCGGGGGTGGCCAGGAAGGGCCGGGTGCGGGGGGACCTTGGGGACACCGCAGTGCCACCCCTGCCACGGCACCGACACCTCCCACTGCTGCCCCGGTTTGCTCCCAGTCCCGTCCGGCCTGCCCTGGGACACTGCCAGGGATCCTGGGGCAGCCACAGCTGCTCTGGGCACCCTGTGCCAGGGCCTGCTCACCCTCACATGCAGAGAAGCTCCTTCCAATACCTGATGTAAATTTCCCCTTTCCGTTTGTACCCATTGTCCCTTGTCTGGTCCCGACAGTCCTTCTCTGTAACCACTTCATGAGTTTGCCATAAGGAATGAGGAGATGCCTCAGTATGAGTGAAAAAGATCAACATGAAACACACGGAATTGATTTTTCCCATGTCCCACAATGTATGAAATCACCACTTGCTTGTCCAGCTCCTGTTCACTTGGGAAAACTGACTATGAACAGCAGCACCAATGTCCTCACAGAAAGATGACCAAGGAAGAGACATCTCTTTTGAAGTAATTTTCTTCTTCTGGAACTTACAGCCTATTTTCTGTTCCTCAGCTTTTAAATCTTGTTTTGTTTGTATAAAAGTATAGATTTTTTTAGAGGAAAACACCACTTTGTAGTCATTAAAGTCCCAAAGACTTCCATGTCTTTGTAATCAGAGAGGTCCAAACTTTACTGCTATTTAACTAAGACAATTGTGTGCTAAGACTCAATTTGTCACAGCCTAGCAGGCTGAACCACCATGTGCTATCTGCACTACCCCAGGAGAACCCAGACATTTCACTGCTGCTTCCAAAATTACCAGGAACGCTACCCTGACAGTAGCTGTAATGATAACAGAGGTACAAGTGCCAGGGCCAATTCAGCTGTCTCCAGCACAGCTGCAGATGCCAGTCTGGCACTTCTCCTGCAGGGAGAGACACCAGAGCCCCCTTCTCACTGCTACAGCCCCCACAGCCTTTGGGACTGGACAGGAAAACCTTTAGTGACAATTCAAATGTGAGTCCAGCACCCCATCCCTGCCCCTAACTGCAGATTCCAGGCAGCTGCCAGAGCTGGAGCACAGGCAGCAGCTCAGGCACTCCAGGCAAAGCCCAGTCCTCACACCAGGGGTGAGCACCCCCTTCTGCAGCTGCCCTAGGGTGAAGCAGTGCTCAGCCCAGAGCCCCTGCACGCTGACTGTACCCACTGAGGGCATGTCAAGAGCCTCTCTCTATCAGCTCCTTTCTGGTCACTGACCCCTGTGAACCAGCACAGGGACAGGGCAGGGGCAGAGCTTTGGTTCTCAGTGCCACTGTGGCAGCTCAACCACCACTCTGACCTACTCAGAGAGTTTGGAACTGCACCTCCAGCAGCCTCCTCCTTCAGTGGTTTTCCATTAAATGCTTCAAGTGCACCAGCACAGATGCAATCAGCCCCCATCCAGCCCCCACTCCCATGAACATGTGCAGACAGGACCTCAACATGAGACAGCAGAAAAGAAAAGGCCAAGCTGAACCTCCACATACCCCTTTTAATATGTTGTTTTGCACTGTGTACAGGAAAACCAAAAATAAACAAAAGGAACTTTAGCCAAACTCCCCTTCCTCCTCCAGCTTTATTGATAGTTAAAATTACATTTTCTATGTTCTAGGACTTCAATTGCTCTTACCATCTTACTTTAAAAACCGATTACAAGCAAATGAAACTCAGTTGTCTAAGTGATATAGTATACAAAAATAACATCTTGATTTCTGTGAAAATGCATTTATTTGCAACTCCTGAATAGCTCCAAATTGTTTATGCTATGAGCACTGATGTCTGGGTTTCAGATTGACTTTGAGATATTTATTCAAAAGCTTCCCATTGCGTTCTGTATCTCCAACATTAACATTCACTGACTGAATTACTGTTACTTTTAGATTTATTTCAGATTTCTCTCTCTCTCTCATGGCCATTAACAGGCATGTGCATCTTGTTTGTTTACTCCCACTCAGCTATATGCTCTAGGTAGGGCCTGATGCAGATATCACTTGGTGTTAACAGCTACTGAGGTCAGACAATCCAAGGCCATTGTAATAAAATAAAAGTTATGAGGAAGTTTAGACACTTCCAGAATTTCATTCCTCCTGCATAGGATCACTTCCCTGTAACCCAGAGAGGGTTTTTGCTGGTCTGACTCAACTCTTCCCACTCATCAATCCCTATTCACCAGTGGCACGGAAAGGGGGTTCTTTAACAAAGCATTATACATAACACCTCTACCAAACTAAACATAAACATTTTTGTAGTTAAATGCAGAAAGTTGATTTTTCCACCCCTTTCCTCCTTTTACACGGCAAGTAAAGCTCACTGGCCTGGGAGTAGCCTCTATCTGCCAACCTTTGGCCAGTGAAGAGGATTCAGAGAAAAATAATACAACCATCAATCAGAAAAAGGAGGGGCGACAAAGGAAAATAATTAGGCTGTAGCTTCAATTGTGCATTCCCGTGCAAGGTGCCCTGACTCGCCGCAGCGGTAGCAGTTGACTTCGCTGGTCTTGCTGCAGTTGATGGCTACATGGCCAGTTTCACCACACCTGCAAAAGAGCAAAGGTTCTGTCAGAGCAGCCACAGCACCCACAGGAGCAATCCTACTCTGCCCAGGACACTGTCCACTTCACTTTCATGCAAGCCTAGTCCTGCGTTCAAGGCTTCTGTTCCACAACTCTCTGACATGAAGCAAGTTTGTCTTCAGCAGTCATGAACTGCTCCCAAATGATCAACTCCCATTAATCACTGTACATCAGCTTTGTGGGATTGCAGGGTTTTTTCCCAATTGTGTCTTGGGTTTTGCCTGTTCCCAATGCTTATGCTTGCAGTTTAGCCTTGTTTTGAGAATAATTAGTTTTAACTCAAATACACCATGTTCTCTCTCCTTCCTCCACAGAAGGGAATGTTGGTGGGGGTGAAGAATACTGCTCTCAGGGACGTGCTGTTTCTGGTATATGCTGCATTCAAAAAGCAGACAACACTCTGAAGAAGATGGCATTTCAAACCAATTTAACACCCACTTCTATTCACTGTTCCCATAAGCAAAGCATCCTCAGTGTGCTCCTGCTGGGGCTGGCTGTGCCAGTCAGCTGGGCAGTACAGCTGGGGTTTGTTAGCTCTGGCAGGAGACACAGGGTGCCTACCTCTGCTACAGCCAAGGGCCTCCTGCCACCTTCTGCAAAAGGACAGGACCCTTTCTGCACAGCTCCAATGACTGAGCACCTGCACTGGGTGGCCATGTAGAGATACAGCATGGAATCTGTACTCCACCTTGCTAGTAAGTGTTTAAGCCTTAGCTCTGAGCAACAGTGGGTAACTGTTCAAACAAACTGTATTTCCCAACCAAAACCAGACACAGAACACATCCAGCATAAGAGGTGCATCTCACAGCTGCCTGTCAGTCCTTACCTATAGCATTTCACTTTGGTGCAGTCTTTTTGAATGTGCCCAAACTCTCCACAAGAATAGCACTTCTGCTCGTCTGCGTGGTCGCAGTCGCGGGCCAGGTGGCCGGGCTTGCCGCAGTTGTAGCAGCACTGCTCCCTCTCCCTCTTGGGCTCCTTGCAGTCCTTCGCAATGTGGCCACCTCTACCGCAGTTATAGCAGGCTTCCACAATAAGAAAAACATACCAAACAAGACTATAAAACCTTGGTAGAGCGAGGGGCAGCACGCTGGCAACAGGGCACGTGCACTGCCTGCTCCCAGGGAACCCCAGCCCCTTCTCTTCAGGCACACAGCTCTGCCTGTGGCACTGAAGAGATGGAATATTTAGTGATACTTACCATCCTCCTGAAGGTCACAGTCCTTGGCAAGATGGCCAGACTCACCACAGCGGTAACAGATATCCGGCAGAGACGAAGACATGAACTGGAAGCCTGCTTGAAAAGGGTTAAAAGAAAATAAAGAGAAGTAAGTATTACATTCTGAATACTTTTAGGAATCAATCACAAACTGAACTGACAAGTTTGCTTCACTCTCAGAGCCCCTGGCCAAACTCTTAGGTAGAGGCAAGTTTTCCTGGTTCTTATTATCAATGAGACTCTCAGCTTCTTCCCTGGGGTCTGCCAGAGGCTGGCAGCGCACACAGCAGGCAGCTGGAGCTGTGCACAGGAACACAAGGGCACGGCCCCCACACACTCACTCACCTCTGCCACGGCTCCTCATGCCACGGCCACGGCCCATCCCAGTGGGGCACTCCCGGGCCCAGTGCCCGGTACGGCCACACTTGAAGCACTCGTTGCTGCTCATGGCTGCAGATCACCTGTCTGAACAAGGAGGACATTTCTGAGCACCTTCTGCTCCCCCAGCCCAAGGCTACATGAAAATGAGAGATTCAGAGGCTTCCCAGCCCCTCAGCAAAGGCAGTGCAAACCATACAGGACTTCCAGCTAAGTCAGTACTGTACTGTACAGTATCTGATCATGACCACTGAAACCACCGCAGAGGATACAAGTTTGCCTCCACCTGGCTTTCAGTAAGACAGCTTTGAACAGACAATGTGCTATGTAACTTTTCCTCTAAGTATTTTGTAGCCACCCTTTACTTCAAAAAATTCCAAAATGTTCAGAGAGAGGGAAAAAGAGAAGGAAATCCCTTTAACTATTGTAGTAGCAGCTTTAATATCATTATCCCTTTCAGTAAAGCACCTTCTTGCTGAGAATTAAACTCAAAAGCCAGAAACTTAATCTCTACAAGTTATTTCCTCCTGGTAGTTGTTACATTTTCTCTTAAAGGATCTGCCTGGCAGCTAATACCTTTACTGACTGGAAGCCAAGAATAGGCAGTATTAAACCTAAAGCATTCAATAGCCCTTTAGCTTAACACTTGAAGAGTTTAGGTCTTTTATGACCTAAACAGCAGTTTAACTCTGAAAAGCAAAACTACATCTTGTAATTAACCTTTAGCTCAGGATGCATATTCCACTCCAGGTATACACGAAAGAAAATGTTTTAAGATGTTAAGACAG